AAAGGTGGGAATGATTAGTTGATAACGAAAACAAGTGGTTGTTTCCGGAAGCCATCTCGTATTTATGTCGGTGGTAAAGTGCGATTGATGAACTGGGATGTAAAGCAAACTTTTTCACCAATCCTTATGGGCTTTTATAAAACACTGAATTTGATGAAGAGCAATAAATGAATCGAAATCTTACTGATCACTCAATAACAGATATCTGACCCTTACAAATCTCAACACTTACCTTTGCTGTTTACCGGAAGTCAACGTGGCTAGTTTATTCCAATCATCGTGAAGTGCGGTCATCTTCTCATGAACAAGTTTCCTTTCTTTTTCTGCATAAGTATGATCGTCGATGACTTGATTTCCTTCGTCAATAACTTCGTTTACTTCACCTTGTTTGGAAGTTAAGTCCTTGACGAGATCCTGAAAACGCACAGTCGATAACACCAAATTAAGGTCAGCTTAACGGAAAAAGCCTCCCTCCCTAACCAGTGCCTAAAAATTGGAGGAGGGGGAGATCTTCTAAAGTGCTGAGGGTGGAAGGTTGCTTGAGATGAAACAATCATTTTCAGGAGGGGTAGAAATATTTTTTTGTCGGTTCATCTTCAAAAACCGACATAAGATCTGGAAAAATGAGACGCTACGTTCTAAAAATTTTTACCTCAATAACACTCTGTTGTCTTTTTATTCCCCCAAAAGATGCTTCAGGAGAAGTCGGTCGGGAACGTAACCTTGTATATCTGTCGGTCACCCAACCATGAAGATCATCGCATCGCTCGTGCCAGGTCTCCAAGTTTCTTTGTCGAGCTTGTGAAGCTCCTAGTTCAACACCAAGCCTAAAATAGCAAAAAAAGAAAGAATGGAACATGGCCATTGAACTGTATCTCTTATTCAATCTCGCCAGAGGTGATGGTTTTATTTGCTACAGTGTCGCGCTGATTTTCGCTTCGAAACAAGCACAAGCAGACGTTTAGTCATGAATCGTGTATCCTTTTCAAATATTTTGTATAAAAAAAGCACCGGCTCTAGTAATGAACACGTTCTTGCATCTGTGTAAATGTTTATGGTCAATCAATACTTGCTCACAAGATTCTCTCACCTTGTAAGCTTTAGAGCAACTTGTAGTCCGGTTTTTATAATAAGACGTCGCCATCCGAATTCTCACGAGATAAGCTTGTGACACACTATTCCACCCTCGAGAAAAATGTTACTATCCATCCTTTCTTGCCTTTCAATTTATTCTTCTCCTTTTCGCTCATTTTACTCTATTTATATTACCCACAAAGGCAATGCATATCAAGCCAACAACATTACCTAGCGTATTCATCTTGAGACTCTTTCATAAGAGTCTTCCATCTTTTTTCCACATCACTCACATCGTCAGCCACTTTTTGACGGCTATCAGAGCTCAAATTTTTATTTGATGCTAACTCTCTTCCGAAGTCTAAAGTCTTTATCATTTCCGGTTCAGTTTGCACAAGATCTGCTGAGAGATCCTACGAAAGAACATTCAACAAAATTAATAAGAAAATAAGTAAAACATACCACGAGAGAACAGCATCAAATACAGACAACACTTGACAATGGGGTCTTTGAGAACTGTCCCCCCCCAGCACCTCAGAGCCGTTGAGACAACTGAAGACACTTTTCGTCAGTACGGTAATATGCATTTTGGTTCGTAAATGATTGTCAGAGGAACTGAGAGTAACAAAACACCGGTTGGACTTTTAAAA